GGCTGTAAGCAGCTTATGAAAAGCTAACGAAATAGACGATGGTAGCATTTTATTCTGCACAAATTATTCTTCTTGCTTTATTCAAATTCATAAATAGGAAGGAATGTATGAAGCATGATAATCGGCTACTTTCGTTAGGTTAAGTTATTATCACATGTATGTTCTGTTGTGACTAGTGGTTATATCTAGTTCTGCGTCACTTAAACCAAGCCAAGGAATCACGAACATAGGGAATAAAAAGACAGTTGCAGCGAAGAAAATTTTCTTTTCGACGAAGTCATCATCTCGGCTGTACATTCGTGTATTTATATCAAATGGATGGGAAAGTTCCAGAACAATTTCTGGTTAGGGGTTGAATTAATAAAAATTACAATTAGGAATTAGAATGCCATAATAAACAGGGGGATGGGTAAAACTAAACAAAGTAGCATAATAACTAAGAAAATTGACATTGTGCAATTGGGGGTTAGAAATGTAAAAATAACAAAATATACAGGATGTTTGGATAAGAAACTAGTGTGGTGAATAATTGTTTATGCAATCAGGGATTAAATATGTAGAAATAATAAAATGACAAAATAAACAGGAAGTGTGGATATGAAAATATGGTAGTGTAGACAGGGATTAAGAAAACTTAAAATAACACGAATAAACAGGAAGTTTAGATAAGAAAGGCGATGGGATGGTCATTATTAAATAATTTACCTGTTTACGATGGCCATGGCAGGGACAGGGGTTGAATGTATTTCTTTTGGATACAAAGGGTGGGTTTGAGTTTTTGGATAGCTAACGCCTCAGCTATGCCCGAATGTCTTGATTTCACTCCCTTTGATAGGTTTAGTTGAATCTTGTATATTACTTTGAAGGACTTTTCGAAAGGCGCTGAATGTCCTGAGTTGACCAAATGTTCTGTCACTGAACTGTATACACGTTTTCGCTCTCCTTTTACCAGCCAGGCTGGGTAGTGTTCGCGAGCGCGTTTTCCAAGTTGGCGCATGGTACGGCCGATGTACTCAGCTCCACAAGAGCAAGTGAACTGGTATATGCATGTTGAGGTGGCCCAATGCGACAGCTTGTCTTTCGCGTTCTGGTTGAACAGTTTCTTGCAGGACAAAGTCAGTCGTAGGCTTGCGGCGAAGTATGTTTTCCTCAGCGATTTGGAGAGGCATTTGCGAAGGATTTCTGCTGCGATATCACCTTTGAATTCTAGATTAAGCAGAAGTATTTTCTTTGGGACGGATTGGACTTGTTCAGAAGTCTTCCTAGGTTTGAGATTCTTATCTATGAACCTGGGCGGGAAACTGTTTTCCATCAGGGTTTTTCGGAGAATACGCAGTTCTTCTTCGATCAATTCCTCGCTGCATATCTTCCGAATCCTCGAGGAAAGAGCGTGTATCAGGTTCCTCTTTCTGATTAGCGGTACGAAGCTTTGAAAGTTGATGAATTGTCCAGTCCATGTAGGCTTTTTGTATATGGACCTTTTCAAAAAGTCGTTGTCATTTCTTGTCAGATGGACGTCCAGGAAGTGGAACATTCCGTCGGATTCGGTTTCAAGTGTAAAGTCGATGTTTGGGTGGGCGTTGTTGAAGATTTGAAGTAGGTTTTCAAGGTCTAGCTTCTCATCACAAATGATGAAAGTATCATCAATGTATCTCTTGTAGAGATGAAGGTCGTCGATAGTTGATGATAAGGGGTTGTTTTCGAGGCTGGCCATAAAACAGTCGGCTAGGAGTGGTCCGAGTGGAGAGCCCATTGCTACGCCATCTGTTTGCCTGTAGATTTCATTGTTGAATCTGAAGTAGACGTTGAAGGTGCAGCGTAGTAACAGCTCCTTTAGATAATGCATCGGTATGCCGACATCTATGCTGTTGCATTGGATGAAGTCACACGGAAAGCATATAGTTTCTGTCAGAGGAACATTGGTGAACAGAGAGACGACGTCTAGGGAGACCATTTTTTTATTTGCGAGGTTGACATTTTTAATTGAATCCACGAAGTCGAATGTGTCTCGGAGGTTGTATCTAGACAACTTTTCTTTCACTGGTCCAAGAATTTCTACCAGCCACTTCGCGATTAGGTGATATGGCGAATTGATCATATCTAATATTGGGCGGAGTGGGACGTCCTTCTTGTGCAATTTGGGTAGTCCATACATTCGTGGCGATGTAGAACCAGATGGGCGAAGTTTTTCATATAGTTCTGTATTGATAATCGATTCATCTTTCATTTTTTTCAATAAGTTGGTTAGCTGGAGCTCCGTCTGTTCAGTTGGATCTTTTTGAGTCGTCTGTTTTTGAAATTTGCTGTCATCAGATAGAATTGATGAGAGTTTCTTCACATAGTCTGACTTGTTAAGCAGAACAATTCCAGAACCTTTGTCTGGTCGAGTTATTATCAGGTTTTCATTTGATTTCAATTCTTTGAGTTGCTTTCGATGTTCTTTTGAAAGCATATTTCGAAGTCTATGTTTTTTGTTGATGTAGTCGAGGGAGCAATTCAAAACAGTTGATTTGAAGTGTTCTACACTTCCATATGAAATTGGGACTAGATCATTCGTCTGACTAATCAAATTCTCGAATTGTACTTTGGTGTTCAATTCATTTACTTTTGATGATGCATCACAAAATTTTGGTCCGAGCGACAACAGTTGCATTTGAATCGGTGAAAGTGAGACATCAGAAAAATTGAATACATATTTCTCGGGACAAGATGGGAAAGCTGTTTCCTTGGTGACTGATTTTAGGCTTTGTTTAAGTTTCATCATGATATTTTCCTTTCTATTCTCTGAGACTGTATTGGCGTAGTGTTCGAATGACGCCCGTTCATCAACAGTTAAATCATAAAGAACGTGGGAGCTCATTGAGACGTTTTGTTCCAGTTCAGCTAATCTGGATCGAACGGCATCAATGTGATTCTGGGTGTGTCTTCTGAGCGTGCGTGAATTGGGGGATATATGGTTTCGTCTCAGATTTTTCCAGAATGCTTTCGGGTATTCATGCTTATCCAGATGGAAATCTTCGCATTCGCTTCAGCAAGCTTGACGGACAAACGTAGAAACTTGTTCAGTTCCTTTACCGTCGAACGGTCTTTGCTCGTTTTCAAATCGCGGAATATACACATTTGATCATAGGGAATAAAAAGACAGTTGAAAACGTCAGTCGTAGGCTTGCGGCGAAGTATGTTTTCCTCACGAACAGTTATGCTCTGTGCATTTTAAGATTGTTGAACTGCTGCTCAGTCAGTGTGGATATGGGATTGAAGTAATCACCAAACTTTACGCAGACTAATAGGGACAATTTTTATAGGATAACATTAAAACCCAGTTTTCTCCATAGAAAAGTCAGTTTAATTATGAACTCTTCTTCAGTGAGTATTAGAATTTTTCAGGAATAAAATGACCGACTTGTCATTTGTATTCCATGAAGACTATAGAACCTGAGCACAGACATTCTCTGTTTTTTTGAAATTCATTTAACCGGAACATACTTTTTATACATCCGACCATGAGCCCCAATCACTGAGAATGTTAGTGATACTATCCAGTTGTCAAAGCTGAAGTAGGTAACGCCGGATTCGCAAGCGAGATCCACACATGAGTAGAAAGTCGCGTGCTGGAGCCAATGAGTCACATCAGCACAATTAGATGGGGTGACTCAATCTGTAAACATAGAAAATTTCCTGTTGACTAATTTAATATAACACCCTGATCTCTCGTTTAAGTGTTCCTTCTGGGCTATTTTAATCTGCCATGAATGAGGTGACACATCTTCAATGTGTGAAAGCCTTTCAAGATGACGGTAAGGATATCTAGGAGCACAGTGGTCAACTACTTGTGTTGCTGAAAAGATTTAACAGAAAGAATGTAGATGCTAGACCTTCCAAACCAGTACTTCAATTTAACCAAATTTCACAAAGGATCCACCTTGAACAGTGAAAGCCACTTGTCTGATCCTGTATTTCAAAGTTAATTCTGAGCTTGCGTACCTAACAGTCCAACTCCATTATCTGTAGTAGAAGTAGTACTGAGAATTCATTTTACGATGATCGTTGAACCGTTGTTCAGTCAGTGTAGACATGGGCTAGAAGTTATAATCGGACCTTGCACAGACTAATAGACAAAATCAGCTAGACTAGTAGTAGTGAGGAAATATCAGTATGATTCACAGACAAGTTTGGACACACTTGACGACTGTTCTAAAACATTTGTATGTATTTCAGTTGATTTCATTTTTTGCGTAACTGGCAAAACTTCCTGCTGTGATTGACTACTCACTTTTAAACGATTCAGCTTTTCATAGTAATATAAATTAATTCACAGACACATTTCGCTCTTGCTTCAGTCGCCTGTGCTGCTAAAGATTACTAATTGCTGACCGACACCTACTTAATCCCTACAAATAGTATCATATGCCCACTTTCACTAACCAGCAGATTATATTCCACACAGTGACTGACTTATTTTCAACCTTGAACTGTGCAAAGAAGTGCAGCAATTCAAGCAGTCACACTCCACGTAGTACACAAAGGTAGAGAGAAAAATGCAAAGGAACTACAATGAACAAAAATACACAGGAAAAAAGAAACAGTTAAATGGAGAGTAATGAGGATTTAGTGGACCTGGGACACTACAAAAAAATGAATGCATCCGTGCCATTGAGAACGATTTTGAGCCATAACACCAATAGTCCCCAGACACTATTTCTTACCACTACCGAAGTTGCCAACCAGGCAGTCTACACTTTTCTATGTGGCTCAAACTATCAAAGGAAACATAGATTGATGCCTGGTTTTGATTTGACCACTCTCTCAACTCCTTTTCAACCTAGTCCTGTGTCGGCAAAAATTGCTCCTTGAGGAAGGCGGTGAATTGAAAGGTATGACACGTGTCACAGTCATTTCAATCGATGTAGCCACACAACCTTACTGACTGACTTGTTCTTTTCGCCTAGCCTCAATATTACCCACCATATTATACCACATAGCTTGTAAATAGAAAGTGAGTATCTGTGGTTCGACACAGTGAACCTCCTTTTGCCGAGTTTTATTTGATAAATGGTATTCAATTACAGTAATGAAAAAATAAATATTACTAATCCAATGTATCAAAAAGAGAGCATTCGAATTATGCTTCAAAAATATTGTTAATTATCTTGGACACATGATAGATCGACCACCATCAACCATTAATGAACTGCCAGTAGTAAAGCTGGAAGCAGAGCTTGAAAGAAAAGCGATAGCTTGAGCCACTTCTTCCACAGTGCCAGTTCGACCTAGAGCGTGCGTATCTTTGGCCTTTGCTAGAAAATCACCATAGTCCTTTTCTGACATTCCAGATCGTCGATGCAGTTCAGTAACGATAACCGCCGGGCTGTAGAAATAAGAGGTTTTGGTTAGTGGAGAAATAGTACTTAGGTTTGTTAAGAAGAAAAGGATCATGAGATACTCAGAGATTACAAAGTATGTGGAGATTTATTTATACTGGCAAGTGCTCACTATGGCTTATGTTTTGAACTACAGTAGTTATTCAGTACATAAAGTAAACTGCTACTTATTGAGTCGGAATTACAGCACACTGGTGGAGATTGAGTGTCAGCTCTTCCGTATTTCAGAGCTACGGTAGCAGAACTTAACGGAGACAAAGTACTGATGACAATGTTGTCAGCAGAGATGATAATGAGAGATTTTAGACAAAGTAGGCAATCATACACAACTTTTAGCCACCTCCCTCAAGTGCTAGGCAATACTCAATGAGCAGGAAAAAACTGTCGCAAAATGGTGCACTAGTTAAGTGAAAAGAAGTAGGATCAATTTGTGAACATGATGGTAATTAAGATATTAACAGCATGTAAGCAGATACTTGCGAGCAACACTATATATTATTTGAAATAAAAAAAATGAATCCTCCGAAGTAAATATTTTTCCTCAAGTCAAATATCACATTCGCACTTTTTCATATTGATGTAAACACAGAAATATGGCGGGTTAGCATGAATAAACTTCGATATTTAACAGGTCAATAAAGTTACTTTTAATGAATGAACTGGCATGAGTTTGACTCACACATACAAATGCAGTCAGAACGAATACTTTATAAACGACCTGGCATGACCAAGAGCGGTCAGACTTCGGTCTTCCTCTCGAAGTGCACTCATGTAACCACACGATTATAGACTCCTTCTGCAAGCTAAATAGAATTCACTGCCTTCACGTGACCAGGATGTTCGTCACAGAAAGTGGAAGGGCGAACGTGAACGTCTGAGGCTTTCAGCCTAACTGGTGGAGATGCACATCTACTTAGAACTGGAATACCCTGATTCCAAAGCTATGAGGTACATGGATTCCCGAATCCGATTGAAACGAATGTGTGAATCCATTTCGGTCAACAGGAATCACGGGAACGTAGCTACTGGCAATGATTCAATACCTTGTGGAAGAGATTTTAAATCAACAGATCAGGAAGGAGGGAGTGGTCTCTTTAAGACAGCCATCTACTTCAGTCTGGATGTCCGGACAGAATTCCAGACTTCGTACAAACTATTAGACTTTAGGTGGCGCATCTTTTAGTGCACATAATGTGACAAGTTTGTTTTTAAAAATAATAAGACTTGAAACTTAAGGTGATCATCCATTTTCCATAAAAAAATGTAGTTGTTGCAAACGTCAACAAAGCAACACTCTTAATGACATCAGTCAATTCCACCGAAAGTACAATAAATAAACAACCACAGGAGTTCGATAAAATGTCACCGAAAAATTTTTCTTTTCGTTTCATTTCAATACGATAAATCGACAGTAAAATTAACCTTACTGGAAGAATTGCAGTTTAAATAGAGCATTAATAATTTTGCTTTGAAATCATTATAACAAGAATTACACATAATGTTTTATACTAACAGTGGTTAGTTGGTGCATACAGTTAACATGTACATAAAAATAAAACCATTTTGTATCAAAACAACATGAATGTTTACCTGACACCATTTACTCGAATTCCTTTAGGAGCTAAATCTGAAATGGAAAAAATACGATGTAGAAAGCATTATATTGTGATGAAATAACTCTAAACAAGGCATTCAGATCAACAAGACATTCATTTGTTCTACTAAACAGGTCCCAAGAAAACGGAATTCGAAACTCGGTTTCAGAAATCCCTTTACAGTAGTAGTCTCCAGGCAGCAAGTAACGTGTGATGTAACAAGCATCGAACTCTTGAATATGATAACATCTTGGTGACCTTATTAGCAGTCATCTATTTCAGCTAATGCACTTTCATTCAGCAAGCATCATTTCGTTTAATCGTGTTTCTTATCTGTTAAAGAGACCGAATCGAAATTTCAAACTGATTGAGGTAAATAACACGCATTGTATTCATCTTCATCACCTCGTTCCTATGGTGACCTTAAGATATTTTAAGAAAACAAACAACCTGCTGAGCTAGTACACACTAAACCTGCTACAGTTCGGTTAAGAAGTAGGTATTTCTTGTGTGAGACTATCCGCTGCACATAACTTACTATTTCGATTGCTTTCAAGGTGTTCAAACTCAACTGTCGTGAGTACTTCTAATTCCACACAACACAACATATCAATCCAGCAGTACACAAATACAAATTAGACACATATTAAGCTTTCCTGAAAACGGAACGAAACCACTTATCATTTTCTTCACCAACTCTCCCAAATGTCATTTCCTATTTATACTTCACATAAAAAATTTCAATTATAACAACTTTTCCTTAAAACTTCCACCAGGTGCGTGCAACCTATTATCTTTAACAAAATCAGAAATTATGTGACAAATTTGTTGTTAGGGTGGTAAAAAATTAATAACAATTACTTAGTTAGATAAGAGAAGATCAAAATTTGGTGTGCAAAAGGTCAAATGAAAAGATAACGATGTAATGCGGTGAGTAGAACTCAGGTGAAGAAAATTTACCTCTTATAGAAGTCGAATGGGAGAACCAGGGGTGTGTTTGTGAAGAGAGAAGTTAATGAAATTAGAAAACAAAGAGTTACTAAGGGATGAGTCACCAAGGTGACTGAAGTTCAACAACAGATTCCTTTTGGAAACATAGGTCAGGTTTCAGCTGTTTTTTCGCGATAGCAACAGTCTATCTGACTAAGTAATTGTCATTAAATTTTTACCACCCTAACAAAAAATTTATCGATGAATTTTTCGAGAAACCCCTCCCCAAGAAGAGGTTATATATACTGTAGTACTTCAGATAGCCTTATTATCCTGATTTTTTATTTCACTCTGACGCTCTTACAATGTGCCTGTTGACAAACAAAAGTATGTTAAAATTGTACACTTATTTTGTTCAAGATTATAGGTTGTACGCAGCTGGTGAGGACCAATAAAATAAAATGGATTCATGCTATTCTGGACCAATGTTCAGTTCTTTATCTGGTGAAATATTGAGTGGGAAATGAATAACGATCATTAGCAGAAGTAAGATTTAGTTGGTGGTAAAGTAAGTTGTGGTCGGTAGAAAATGTAACATGAATCGATGGTGTATTGGAGTTAAGTCAATTTCTGATTTGCTGAGATATCTTATTTACTAGACATTAAATTTCACCTTGTTATACACCGACACAATTATTCAGTTTGGAAATGCACGTGATAAACCGTCTTGACAGGTGAAAGCGGCTACAGAAAAGCTTTTTACATTTCAATTTCTTTTCAGTTTCCACCGGTCATTGTTTTTCACAATGCCTCTAAGGATGTGGAAGTTCGCCTAGTAAATACACTAATGGATAATTAGTGGTATAACATGCTGGTGAATCCCTCGTTATTACAAATTACTATATGAATATCAAAAGGTTAGAACAGTTAACAAGAAACCGAACGTAATTCATTATGTGAGTAATTAGATTAAAGACCATATTAAAAGAATAAACCTCTGATTAAGGATTCAATTGATTTTGAAAGAGGACATATGCAAGCCATCGCATGCAAACTACCGTCAGTCAGATAACCAAAAGCGATTTCAGACACTGGACTTTGAGGTTATCGAATGGTAATTAAACGCAATTAGAAGGATTTAATTAATACTAGTACTCAATTCGGCAGTGTTCAAAGCTCAAATATGTTTGGAATTACGAAAAGCAAAGATATTCACAGAATGCCTGCAAAGAAACGTTACTCAATGCTGCTCATTAGAGTTCCACAAATTATGCAGAAGCATGACTGCAAATCAAAAAACTTGTATTTTTGAGATTATTGTGAAGTTTAAAACAATTAGTTCCTTTTATGAATTTAGATAAAGCAATAAGAGGACATAATTTGTCTGAATCGTGTAATGTATTTGCGCAACACATTTCGAACAATCTGATCACACACAGACTTGTCATTGGAATATACATGAAATTAATAAAGAGGTAAGAGGTGAGAAAATGGACTTAGGTCAATTTACAAGGACATATTCAAGGTCAAAATAACAATGAAGACCACTAAACCAAATAGCAGAGGTAATAGTGTGGTGAGAGCTGTCTACTAGCCAAATTGGTAGATAGTAATTTACGTCAATGTTTACGTTCTCTAGATTTGGCGTGAGAAAACATTAACAAGACTGATTCAAAACCGACCACAGCAGACTTTGCGTAGGCGGATACAGTTAACATATAGATTATCTGACATTCAAGAAACAGTCACAAAGAGATGGAAGATTAACTTTACGTGAGAAACAACCAATCAGAAGACTGTGTTGTTTACTTAATTAAACTATAATAAGGTACATGAAGATATATAAATATGCTTTAATTTCCTTAATAAACGATCTGTTGCCTCGCCCTTGTCTTCTGTTGTTACAATAGTACATATGCTATACAAAATAAGTTGAGGAGTTCAATTGATGATCGAAACCGCGTAGATGTTTTTTCGGTGAATCCTGATAAGTATGTTGCAAATCTTTCTGATATTACTCTATCTACTCATCAGAAAGATGCTTTATCCCTTGGACTCAAATTTTGTGTTCCTCGCACGCAATTTACGGATTTAGCCATCCATCCTGAGTTTGAAAATTTATATGACCAATTCAAACCTCTTGCCGCAACATCCGATAAAGATCGGGGTTGGTTTAAGGCCAAGATGGTGGATATAGCTGATCAATTTTTAAACAGCAACTCAAAGGAGAAAAGTACTTTAAATTCCCAGCATTTTAAAGCCTTGAAAGAGCTACGGGAAAATTCTAATATAATTATTACGAAATCTGATAAAGGTTTTGGAGTCGTCATTATGAATGAAAGTGACTACAAATCTAAAATGATGTTTATTCTTGATGATAAAATCAAATTCAGCCGTGATCCCTAAATGGTTAGTAGAATTATTGCATCCAGTCAAAACACAATTCTGTAAGTATGTGTTAAAAAATTCATTTGAATTGGTTGATTTTCTTGACGATAGTAATATTAATATTATGAATAAAAATATGTACTCTTTTGGTGAAAACTCGTTATTCACTAATGTGCCTTTGCTCAAAACAGTTGACATTTTGTGTGATTATATTTCCACAAACAATTTTTTCATCCCGTTCCCTATATCTTATTTAAGGGATTTATTACTTCTATGTACTAACAATGTTATGTTTACATTTGAAGGCGATTGTTTCCGCAAAGTTGATGGTGTTGCTATGGGAAGTCCGTTAGGGCTCCTTTTAGCAGATATTTATATGTCGTACATTGAGAATTTATCGGAGGATTTAATCGAAAATGTGCCACTTTATAGAAGGTATGTAGATGATATTGTGATCATTAGTGATAAGTCTTGTTCTGCCACCTCAATTTTAAATCGAATGACTGAAGTTCAGAATACCATATCACTTACATCTGTAGAAGAGGAAGATAACTGTTTATCTTTCCTAGACATATTGCTTAGTTTACGGCTTGATGGGTCAACAAAAAGATCTATTTATAGAAAACCTACCTGGACAGGACAGTATCTTAATTACCACAGTTTCTGCCCTGTTCGGTACAAAAGAGCCTTAGTCAGCTAGGTGCAGCTTCAGTAGAATCCAACGAATATGCACTGAAGACACACTCGACGAAGAAGAAAGAAAGTTGACACAAACTCTGGTTGATAACAATTATCCAGACAAGTTCATCAGGAGATATAAAGTAGTCAGAACACCAAGACCCACTTTGCAACTCGGTCCTAAGAAAGACGTGTACATCAAGCTACCCTATATAGGGCGTCAAAGCAACTTGATAACTAGACAAAGACTGAACGCTGCTGTCAAAAAGACTTTATGCAGCCAATATCATAATAATAGGGAATGTAAAGCCAGTATATCTATCTAAGCCCTTCGAACATGCGAAAAATGACGTCATATCCCACTGTATTTACCAATTTGAATGTACGTGTGGACACACATACATAGGGAGGACTCATCGATCTCTGCAAGTAAGGGCTTCAGAGCATATTCCTAAATGGCTCCAGAAACAAATGGAATCTTCAGAACCTATTAACGGTGAGAACAGGAGACCTAGCTCTTCTATTGCGAAACATATTATAGAAACAGGACATAAAATTGACGTTAACAGATCTTTTAAACCTATCTATGAAACGTGTTTGGGGTGTATCCTAAAGTTTGTGGAAGCCCTAGTAATTAGAAAGTTTAAGCCACCTTTATGCGTTCAAAAACAATTCGTCATCACATTAAACCTTCCTTGGTAAATTTTGTTTTGGTACCATAGCAGATGTACTATTACCTCTGCTACTTGGTTTAGTGGTCTTCATTGTTATTTTGACCTTGAATATGTCCTTTTAACTTGACCTAAGTAGTCTATTTTCTCACCTCTTAACTCTTTACTAATTTCATATATATTCTTAAGACAAGTCTGTGTGTGATCAGATTATTGTGAAGGTTAGATAAAATAGTAATAAGAAAAATACATACTTTGGAACCACTTTACATACTAAAACAACATGATTGGAAGTGGACTTTTCTCGATGACTGATTATTGCGGCATTCTTTTTAAACGTTAGCAGAAATCAAGTTCAGTGGCATTAAGAACATGAGAAAAATGTTTTATATATTGAAACACTTCGAAGTAACGAACTGTCTTAACCTGAAGATAACGATGTATTGAATCGTAAGAGCTGTAACTACTGCCTTCATTTCACAAGCAATTTCACTTGTTGGTTTGCGGTGATTTCATTGACTTCAAGTTAGATGACGAACTACTTCAGTTAGAGAACCACCGAAACACTATATTGAAAATAGCAAATTGGCAGTAGTCAGAATTCATGGGCCACTGGATCTAGACCCAAGTAGCTGAATCTTCAACAAATCTGGTCTCGTTAGCTAAAGGTCTCGGGTTCTATCCCTGGTAGAGTTGTAGGTGCGTATTGATGAAGAGCCTTGAACTAGAGCAAAACAACTACCCATTACTCCCCGGCTTTCAATAGTTCTCTAAGTCAATCCGTGACGTAACTTCAAAAGTATCCAACGAAAATAGAGAAAGTTAAACTATATGGAGATACTGGACATATTAAATTAGAAAGGGTTTCCATATTCATCATGGACCCAGTCTTAACTCAAGTATTTTATGAGGTGGTTCCGGTAATTCATTACAATAACTATTAATAACATGGAATGACAAAAACAAGAAAACAAACTGTTTGGAGTGGAAATCTTCCATCTCCTTCTTTCAATGCATTATTTAAGCTTTCTATTCAAGATAAATTCAATGGTAATGTGAAGTATACTTACCTAGCGCAGTGCACCTGGTAAATTGATCCAATGCTGCTTTGCTAATGCAGTAAGACATTACTCCAGGAAACTGAAAACGAAGTAAAATAGCGCGTTCACAGTGACTTAGTCTCTAGGCGTTAAATGTATCAATGTGATGTCAAACACTATTTATCAGAGCCAATAGACGAGTGATTAGTTGTAAATCAAATGCGTGTGCCAACAGCAGAATCGTATTCTTACGATACATCATAGTGGAACTATCCAAGTGTTGCTTTGTAGGGGTTTGATTGGTTACAAGTGAAAAATCGTGACCACTGGGCTACAGCAGGTCGGGTGTGACGACAAATACTCACCACGGATGACATCAGCCAATGGTCACGCTTTATCGTGGATTGGCAGAAGTTGGAATTCATGGAGCGGTCATTGTATTGAGTCCCAGTGGCTTAATGGTCTACGAGCTCGCCCTGTAGCTGGGAGTTCCTGGGTTTGAACGCCGGCAGGTGCGTACTGTGAAGAACCCCGGGCTAGGACGAAACGGCTGTCCAGTACTCCCAGGTCCTCCAGCAGTCCTCTAACCGATGTCAGCTCATGATGAACTAGTGGGACTATATAATTTGGGAATGAATTTTTTAAAATGAGACTTGATTATCCATGTGGTTTCCACAAATATAGCTTTCACAGGTGATATGATTTCATTTGACACAATCCTTCCTGACAGGTTAGTGAACTAATCTAAATTTTACTCCCGTGTTACAGTACCAAGAAGTAAAAATAAGTACATTTCTAAAACACAGTCAGTTAAATTTTTCCAACTATTGACAACTTGTTAAAACTCTCATTTAAAGTGTAGAAGGTAGAAAATCATATATCCCTGCATCCGTGTACAATACACAAAGAAAAAGGGCTAACCACAGATAAAGGAAAATAACAGTGGAGAAATTCATAACCTAGTCTGGAAGCGTTTTTTTTTTCAAATAAACTGCTGGCCTCACACTTGGTAAATATTAGTAGATTAAATGTGACACCCACATATTCTGTTCGAATGAATATTTTATGCATTTTACTCAACAGACATCAATGCTCCATTTGATGATGGGTTACACCAATTGTATGAGGGTTGATGGTGTTCGAACTCAGCACTGAGTCTAATGACGTACAGACCTACTAAAACATACATTAAGGAAAGAATACTAGCAAATAAAGTAAAAGCAGTATCAGGCAATGTATTTCAAAACTCACCGACCGATTGCCACAAACACTGGATACATTTACAATGGCACCTTTAGTGACAGTAAGGTCAGGAATAGCAAGATGAGTTAAAGAAATTGCAGCAGTTAAATTGACTTTCATCAAATGATCAAATTCATCCACATTGAATGTTTCTGCTGTATCTCGTATCATGCATCCAGCATTATTTACCTAGTGACATTTAGAAATGAAAATTTAATAAAAGGATCAATCAATACTGGTAATACTCCTATAGAAGACTCTAGTAAGCGAAGAATACTTGCCTACAATACTCTTTAATATATCCTGGATTTGTTGACTATACTATTCTCTTAGGTTCCAAGTGGAACATGGGGATTCAGCAGCCCATCTACACCTTCACCTCGGACGCCCAACTCAATGTTTCCTATTCGGGTGTTACTAGATGGCCTGGGACGCAATGTCACTCAATTGTCTTCTCAATGTATGTTTATTTTCTTCGGCATATTTGTCGGGTGACAGGATCTTGTTTGGTTCTTTGGTGCTAACTTTTTTCTGGCCGGGATTCTGATATTCAGTACGGAGCGGAGGTAGCTGTTGATAAAAGTCCACAGCAGCCTGTTAGAAAAGCATTTGGTGACGCGAAGTCTCTGAACCATAGAGGAAGATTGACCTAACATTAATGTGGAAAATCCGAATCTTGTTCTCTAACTGAGTGCAGCGGATTTTTACACTGATTTCCCACTAAATTTCAGATAGTGGAAAAAGTCATTTCTGAGCAGCTTGAGTGGCTATAGCACTGAAGCCACTAAAATATGAATGTCATATATGATAACTTTTTTCCGACATATGACACTTTTATTTTGTTCAATAACTCATCTAAGTGAATTCAAACTAACACGTTCAAAGAATTAATGACCACCAGATGTTATCCAGGTTGCAAACTAAATAGACTAAAACACTATCTCAATATGTATAAGTAACTAAAGTTATCTTCCGACAACATGAGGAATAAACTGAGTTTCGATTTCTAGGATGATTTTTTAATAAAAACAAAGGAATATACTGGGGTTGACATTAACACTTGGCCTTACGCCAACTGCTTTGCAGGAATGACAAAGCTTACTTCCAAATTTGCTTAAAGTCAAGCAGTGGAACTAGGAAATTAAAATTCAAAAGCCAAACACAATGCGACCATTTTATCCTTCTCTAACTCCTACGATAACATGACCAACTCACAGATTAGGTATTGAATACTTGCTTTTTACAGGCTTATTTGCATTAGCTACCTGGGAAACAAGTGAGAACTCGAGAGTATCTAAGACCTACTCAGGGTGACATCCTTTTTTGACCAAAGTCGCATAAGAATACGGCAAAGGTTACACAGAACTGTAGATGGAGAGGTGAAATTATCCAACGTAGTCATCAACAAACATTAAAAACTGCTGCAATGCAAATGAAATGTAAAAAACTGCTGTATTTTAGAGGTTTGAATTACCAGTATATCAAGTTGATGAAAGTGGTTAATCACCAAACGGTAAGCTTTTTCAGTTTCCTTTGAATCGGTTAAATCAGCTTCAACGCACAAAAAAGGCTCTTTGTGCTTTGCATAAACTTCTTTTTGAGCTGCTTTAATGCATGCTTGCCGAGTCTCCTCCAATCTTGTTTTATCTCGAGCAACCAAAGCAATGCATGCTCCCAGTTCTGCAAACAAAACTGCAGTTGCCCTTCCAATTCCTGAACTTGCTCCTAAAAACAAAAAAGAAGCACAACATTCACCTTAATATGATTCATCATGTTTCAAATATCTATAAAATTTGAGTTAAAATACGTGACTTTTGGCCAGGTTCTATCAGAGGTTAGGAACTTTCTTAGCTTGCTAAACTGTATAAAATGTCTGGTAGAAACAAAAGTATCTGCTGCTATGATCGATAGGTGGAATCTGACTGCCCATTACTGTCATAGTTACATCTCAGAAGAGACAGTTGTCATCTCTGACATATGTATGAAGACCAGTTCACACAAGGTTGGGAATATTTTTTCTGCTTAGGTTTTATAAAGCATCTATAATACGATTAGCAGTACCCTAACTCAGTCACTATGCAAGTCAGCCAGAAACTGTACATGGCACGACAGTACTACAGTAGCTTTGAATTCCATATCATGTATGCTATTTCCATTACTACTTTTATTTCTCCCACTAGTCTCCAAATATTTTGGAGTAAATTCTGGTGGGCTATTCTGGACTATTCACTGGTAATATTTTCCTTATTTGTTTGATTTCATTATTTAAATCTTCCGACTTACTAGTTAGGCTCCTGACCAAATTATATAAACACAACTAAATCTACCTTTAGTTACATGTTGATATGATATGATAATGAGAAAAGATATTCAGTTGTATGCAATCACACAACAGGATAGGGTAGTCAGATGGAGAGAGAGAGAGGGTTAGATTAATCGCCGAATCTTTGTCCATCAAACACGTGCAGTCGAAATGGGGCAATGCCTATACCAGATATACAGAAAATTGTAATAAACAACAAGGGGAAGAGAATGTAAAGCAAGTTATGAAGCTGTGTGAACGGACTGATATGCAAAGAGCAATAAATTGTTCTCGAAACGTCATCCAGCTGACATCCTTGTTTGTTGTATCAATAGACTTATCGAATATAGAACCATATTTCACCACTGCCAAAATACAATTTCACTAGGTTACAAACTGTTGTACCCCAGTTAAAATATGCATGTCAGCCCTCCAGATTTACTAGCTTGGTGCCCGTTTGCTTGCATTTTAATGACGCCTTAGTCAAAGTAGGCATTTTGAATAAAGCAGCGATTCCCTATTAAATACCGAACAACACTAGCTGATAAGCACAATATCAGCCAACACACTCAATTTAGTTTCATAACTAAGTTCACAATGTGTAATAGGGGAGTAGAAAAGACATTTTCTACTCCTGTTTATGACGGAAATTAAAACAACCATCTAGTCCTATTTTTTATTGAAAGAGGGTGTAAGCAAACAACATTTCAAAAGATAAAAAGCACTAGGTTCGCCATATTGAGTTTTACTGCAGGTAGAAAATGGTTTGTAAAAAATTGCATTAAGCACAACCTCTTTCACTTTAATTTACAATTCTATGTAACTAGGCTCCAGCAGATATTCGTCTGGACCCTGGAAACAAATAGTACCCAATACCAGTTGTTCTTCTTGACCAAAATGAGATATTCGTTCAGCATTATTGAAGAGGTGTAACGTTGGAAAAAAGTCTATTTAAGGAGTGGTATTGACCTATAGTCTTCAAAAACATAAAAATGTAACTTCTGTCACAGAAGAGAATTGACAGGATGATATGCGAAAACTAGAATCATACAGTTACCTGTTATCAGGGCTACCTTTTGTGAGAGTGATATCATATCCGCTTGACTCTGAAATAAATAACGAGAATTACATGAGGATAAAATCAGCAAAGAACTATGAAAAAGACGTGCGAATATATATCTATATTGAAATAAATTTAATGTCTACATTTCAAATAAAGGAAATCAAAATGAATTTAAAATAAATGCGGGGAACAAATGCAGAGTAAAGCTGTTAAAGAAGGTGAACTACAACAGCTGCATCAATGGTGTGTCAGTTGTGGATGCTGTCAACCACTTCGCATCCTCTTCCCGAAAGAGTAGCCGCTTGCATTCGCATAGATTTTGTCCTAAAATAAACGTTTGACGACAACGGGTGAGCCATATAAGCTTCGTGGAGTTTCCCAGTTGTACTTCTACGTTATCTTTACTTGTCCAGTCACAACTGTCAGGACCAAAACATAGGAGTCGTCTAACAATGGGTATTCAAACAAAATCCACTTACTTGCAAGAGCACTCATCCTCAATGTCTTTACATTTAGCTCTAAGTTTCGGCGACAGTCCATTCGATATAACTTCTATGGTTTTCTCTTCAATCGGCATTGGATTGGGGATAGTTTTTTCAACAGACTCCAAGTCTCTTTTGCTGTGCTTATGTTTCATAAATTCTAGAGGGTCCCGTTCCTCTTTTTCTTCCTCATCGTACTCCTCATCTAAAAATACGTTACGCTCTCATATATTTAGCATGATTATAACTTACACACTTTAATAGCGCCAACGCCTAACAACAATAATACCAAAAGCCTATCTCTCATCTCTAACCATCATAATTATTGCAAATATTTAGAGGTCCCGCTCAAAAATGTAGCAAGTACAATGTACGAGACCCAATGAATATAATGTAGAGTGCATCCAACCAAGATTTTAATTTGTTGAGTGTGGCCAAAATGAAGTATCACCGGCGACAAAGAGTTCCTGGTTGGTTCTGGTTATTTGGAATTACTCGGACACAGTCCTTGTGTTGCGTATTTTAATAGTGCTGATGATTAAAGCTTTCAACGGAAGTTACAATAGCCACAGCTACTGGTAGGTTGTTCCGGGGACGGCCAATTCAAAGTGAAAAGAAATGGGAACACTTTGGAGTATTTTCTACCGTGGTATGTTAATCTTCCAACCAGTGCAATAAACCACTCGATGTATTGTCCATAATTTTTCACTTGATTATTTTACTGGAACTGACTATTGTAACACCACCAAATTTCATTCATTATGCCTTTGTCCGAGCGTACAGTGTCACTACCGATTCCTAACACTGTGGCTTACTGTAATGGCTCGAGAACGGAACGGATCAGTTGGTTTGGTCAGTTAATTCAATCACCTGTTTCGTTAAAAAGGCTTTATTGCGTGGAAAGGCTCTCAGAAATACACGCAACGTTTGAAATTTACGTGGTCATTGACATGGTGCAGTGATGAAGATCGTTGGGCTGGCATGCTTTCTTCTGTTTCCCTAAGCAGAATTCAAAATTGGTCGCAGTGGGTGCTGTAAAACGCTTCCAGATGACGAGTTGTTTTTGAGTAAGGATGATAAGATGACACTCCAGTATTATTATTTTACCGTTCAGTTCCGGAATGTAATCAGCTGATTTTGATTAGACAAGAGCTAGTTGTCCATATCAGAACAACAATCAATTATTATCCCCCTAAGTTCCCAACGGAACATATAGCAAAAGAAGCACCATATCACCCTGTTAGGCTCCGCGATCGCCCATAAGAATTTATCTGCCCATCAAACGATCTCCTCCATGCCATACCTAGACACACTCTCAACCCGTCGTTTCTCACTCAGTTTCACTCGAGAGCCTGATACTCAGTGTCGCTGAGTTGTCTTTCAACGTGTATCCAGTCCACCTCCATTTTTTTCGGCATATTTTTTGGATGACAGGTTGTTGCCTGGCTGCTTCCCGGAGTTCCTTGTCGCTAATCCTTTCTGGTCGGACACCTAGTATTAAGCATATAAATCAGACAGTTGTCTTTTTGTGATGCGCACTGCGAGTCTCCATATAGTAGCACCTACTGGACACTAATGTTGAAAATCTGAATCATGTTCGTCATGCCGAGTGAAGCAGATTTTCGCACTGATTTCAAACTGATGAAGGTATGACTTGCTTTCTCTGGCTTGTCTTTGACTTATTCATCTGTGCTGCTTATGTTGAAACGCTGCTATTGAGCAATGTGAGTGAATGTGTACTTTGCCTAAATTTCCGTTGCTGTTGACTATTGTAGTTGGACTAGAATTAATGAGTGATGATGGTCTGTCTTGCTATATGCATGCCCTGACGTTTCTTTGATCGTCAGTGGTTTCGTCTGGTAGCCCACTAGTAAGCCATACCTTTTCACGAGGTCATTGCTGAAGACTGCTAGGCCACAGTAATGTCTAAAGCATGACATATGAAAAGTGGCCATGAAAACTTGACAATAATAAGCCCAGCCAACCAAATATTTTCCTGAAGTTCATCCAACCTACCCTTACCCCTAATCCTATCACTATTCATTTCACTCCACTCAGTAGATTATGACTTAATTTGCTGTAGTACTCAAAACTCATACCTTTTACTTTTTAAGACGTTTTAACTACTACCTATGCAGCAACCGTTTAACTAACTCACTGATTTTCTCTTCACTGTAATCCTGGGTTCTTCTGCTAGTCAACATTCACCAATTAAATTCTAACAACACCCATATTTGAGAAGAACTATTTTTACGTCGAAAACGCCATAGTTTTCCATTGTAAGACCAATACGCTTGGCATCATACATTGCATCCCAAGTAATCTATAGCTTCTTCTTGGATTTATCTTGTAAATATACTTCCAATAACGTATTATCTATAATTGCATTTTATACCATTTCGCAGCTACCCAAGCTGTTTTTCTCTTCCTGCAATAGCGTTCAATCACGTGGAGGCATAGCACTAAAATATATGTTGTTTGTCGATTGGCCATAACCATCATCAGGAAATGGAATGGAGTTTGGGTTATCGCTCAACTTTGATGGTGACCTTATCGAACGGCTTACGATTCAACATTCACAAGAATCTGTTCTGATTGCTTGCACAATAATTCAATAATTTATACTTTTGAAAAGTGCCAATCTATGCTAATTCACTATTGTAATTTGTAACATAATTGATCGTGTCTGTAAAAGTGGCATGCGTTTCATGTTAGCTTACCCGTTCATACGCAATATATATTTTTATTATAGTCAGCGCCAGTGTCAATCCATGGAGGCTGTCGCTTGAGCCAGATGTCAAGTGTCAACATCTTTTGCTTGAATATTGCGATCTCTGTCTTATTGGCGACCTGCAACTTGACAGTTGACCTTTGTAATCGCGAGTAGGCGGTTGAAATCCAAAACCTGCCACCACCATCACTTGTAGCTGCATTGCGGCCCTCAGATTAGTACTGAATTACCAGTTGTGTTTTATGGTTAGAGCACCACTCATGAATGGTATCAATCAGCGTTCAAAAATGGTAGGTTGTGAGATTTGAGGGGGGTTAAGTGATTGTAAAGGAGCAGCTTGAAGAACGATACAGTATGTATATGGTAGCGATTTCGAATCCGGTTTAACTACAGCCTAACTCTAGGTCAGTGGGTCTCCCACTACAAAGTAATTTATAGTGATGAGAAAATAAGCAAATTACCACGGAAAGTATATGAGCAGGATCTTAGAGTCAACAATATTGTTTGTGCGTATACATTTTTGTATTTGTTGTGCATTTTTTAATCAGTAAACATGTGTCTTTTAACATACTTATGTACCTGGTGTCTTTATGAGCTGTACGGCCGTAAGGCGGGGGCATTGTTGCACGTTTTCGCATGCCCATGCACTTAGTGGTCCTGATACATGATGCAGTTCAAAAATAAGCAGTGCATTCTCATTGTTGTTGTGGTCATTAGAATGTAAAAGTTTGCGAAGAATGTCTATAAATATAACCGAGCTGTGGGGTCTGACTTCTAAGGATGAAAAACTTTTCCATCTCTGATTACACGACTGTGAATTGGTTTGCATGGATTGATATTTCAAACCGCAACAGCCTTCCGATGAGGAGTGTGCGTCCTCACTGTCTGGTAACGATATTTTGTATGAGGTCATAAAGAAGAATATTAGATTTTTACTAGACCGTCTCCGCCAAATTAATAATAATAACGTATATTTTCATATAAACATAAATTTACGTGAAAACGCATGCCAATTTTATAGGCACGATCAAGTATGATATAATGTCAAATAGTAGATTGTCTACAAGTTAATAATGTTTGAACAGCTAAATATTTGATATATATATATATAAATACACTCATTGTTTGACCCAGGCCGTATGATTATTGAATTGTACAGTAGTTCTCCAGGTTGCGCGGGAAAATCGACCTCGTTTCGTTCTCAACCAGCGGTTGTAGGCATACGATAACCAACCAATATTGAGGTAAGTACAACGTTTACAAGGGATAGTAAGCTGTTTTAGAAAAGTAAAGGTGAATCATCAAAGTGTAATGAAATAGGTAAGTGCAATGTATCATTAATAGATGCATTCATAAAGGAAATACAGTGGGAGACCATAATCCCTAGGCTGACAAAGTTCATTTGCAATGTATAATGCTACCCTATAGGTTTTACTATCATGTTGTCCACTTTTGGTTTAATACAATTATGCACAAGCCGGTTGTTTTAATTTCATACCTTTTTGTGTTTGGTGCACAACCGTACCCTATAGAGAATAGGAATAAAATAAGTCGAATCAAATTCATGAAGAGCTATAAAATGTTAGGTTTGATGGAATATAATGAGCAAGTGATGATGTTATTAGAAAATGAATGAGATGAGACACTGTGAAGTGATATTGGGTCAGGGTCTAGAGAGATACACCTTTAAATACAGTCTCTTACACATTCATGCCACATATACGAGAGCTGAAACAACCTCTTTTACCTACCTGGGGAGCATCGTTTCAACTACAGGCAGATGGAACTGACGAGGATATCAAAGCAAGAATCGGAAAAGCAAGACGAGCTTTCACTACTCTCAAGTCTGTGTGGAGGTCAACAGCACTCAGCATCAAAAATAAGATCCGGATTTTCAACTCCAATGTGAAGTCAGTGCTACTCACTATACAGATCAGAGGCTTGCACTGCGCGTCATAAAGAGCATCTCAAACAAACTACAGACCTTCATTAACAGTTGTCTTCGCTCAATACTCAAGATCAGATGGCTGGCCAGAAAAGATCAGCAACAGGGAGGGATCTTTGGGAGCGAACCAACACAGCAGGAGCCGATTGTGAAACAAATATGCAGGATGAAATGGAGATGGATTGGTCATACTCTGAGGAAACCATCAAGTGACATCACTAGACAAGCCATTGCTCGAGTGGAACCCGAAAGGGAAGCGGCGAGTTGGTCATCAGTGCAAGGGTGACTTGGAGGAGGTCGTGTGAAGAGGAGATGAAAACGTGTGGGCAGACATGGAGCCAGGTGAAGACTCTCGCAGAGAACCGAACGCAGTGGAGACGCACGGCTGAAGCCCTATGTTCCTCTAGGAATTCAAGGATACAATAATATAATATAATAATACGAGAGCTGCTGATATTAAAAGGGTAGAATTCTTAGAGCCGCGTTTAATAAGTTACATATACTATGAATTTAGCCTCACGGTTGTAAGGTTTTCTGTGTGTGCGTCTGAAGAGCGTCATTAACCTGAGTGTCTGTGATACCATTTGCTCGGAAACTGCCAGGTTGCTAGATTACCTGAGTCAGTAGTCAGAGACACTTTGAAGTCTAAGTACATCGGTAGATTGAAACGTTAACTTATTGTCGATTTAGTGTTCACTGAAGCAGATCCGACTACACCTATTCGA